GAAGTAGATTGATGGTGGAGATGAAGACTTCAGGCGAGGGGGGGGGGGGGGGTGGGTGGAGGGGGTAATGAGTGTGTTTATTTGCCTCCTCACGGTAATCGTACGTTTCAGAACACGAGCTCCGACAAACGTCTCCGTCACCGCGGTCTATTTCTGACCCGGCCGTCATTATGTCCCGTCTGTTTACGGCCCACGCGGGCTCCCACTGTCATTATCCTACCTATAATGTGGGGTTCGTGCAGCTCTGTCCACCTCAACATAGATCAGGAGTGTGTGACATGTTTGCAGTCAGGACATCAAGACCACTGGGAGGAAAAAAAAAAAAAACAGCTGCTAAATACAGGGCTTTAAATTTGGGGTTGAAAACACGACTCAACGTTTCCCCTCAATGACAGACTGGGAGTAAAGATCTGTCAGCTTCCTGTATCGGCTCTGGCTCTGCGGGTTGGCAGCGACCCGCTGGTGCCGTCGGGACGAGTCCAGATTAGGTCCAGAAAAAAAAGCCACTCTGCCAGTAGGTGTCAGACTTACAGCCGTGAGTAGAGTTTAATCAGGACTTTGACTGACGGCTCCATCGCTGCCGTTAATGAAGCTGTCCAGGAGCTACAGCTGTTAGACACCGTGACCTCACTAAGACACAGGCATGAATTATGTACACTGTTGGGCAAAATGATAGCAAGGCCTTCTGGGTACTGGGGGGAGAGAAAAAAAAAAAAAGAGCCGTCTCCAGATGTCTGACCAAAAAACCGTTCAGACGAGACGTTACATTTACAGACGGTCACGGAAAAATTAGAGCATTTTTTTAAAAAGTCCGTTTTCACCAGTGATAATTAAGAAACACTAAAAAAAAAACAAAAAAACATTTCCCTCAAAGTCTGTTTTCACCAGTGATAATTAAGAAACACTTTATGGCCACATACTTGACAAAAACTCCAACGTTGCAAAAGGTTCTTGCAGCATAAACAGTTTTGCTTTTGTCGATGCGTGGCAGAAAAATGAAGGATATTGTTGGACAAAAATGTTGACAAAATATGTTTTTTAAGGTCAGATTAACTGGTGTCCTCGTCATTGTACACAGTTCTAGAAAAACTCACTTCACTGCTGTTTGACTCTTGGCCACATTAACATTTTTAGTGTATTCTTGTATTGTGGATTTTTCGTGAGTTTTAGCAGCGCATAAAACATTTTGGTGATATAGAAAATAAGCATTTTCTGGCCTAAGAAAAAGGAAAAAAAACCCATGATAGACGAGGGACCACTGTATGTTTCATTAAATTTTATCTTATTCTATATTTTGTCCATATTTCATCACTGGTTTTGTCAGTAGGGAGGGTAGGAACTAAATATATCTTCAATGATCTTGCTTGCAAGTATCAAAGCTAAGCTAAATTAGCTTTTTTTTTTTTTTTTTTACCTCTGACCAACCACTGAACCACAGAACAGCCACAGCAGACACCTGGTACCAAACTATGGCTCACTTGGTACCAGACAAAACCAGCACAAAACATTTGCCTCTTAACAGATCTCTGATCTCCCTTATCAGCACGGTCCATCGATGTCCAGGACCAGTACCAACATCCATGTTTTGGAAACCCTGCTGAAGGGTTGCAGACCCTTGCCTTATCAGCACGGTCCATCAGCGGGGGCTGACACGGGCTGGTGCGGGCCTCAGACTAATGGACTCTTGGGATGTTCCTTCAATGAATTCTCAGTACTCAGGATTCCTGGGAATAAGGTCAACTGAAGAACCCAAACCATCCACCGGCCAGTGTGAGGGGCCTCAAACTCTCAACTCCCTCAGGTGGTCCAAGGTCTCTACCAATCTTAGAACCTACAACTGCTGACCTGTATTTTTCTCTGACCCAACAACCGTGTGGAGGACCAGGTCCTAGAAGGTAGCTGGACAATCAGAAAACAACCACCAGAGACTGCAGCGTCGGTGGAAACACAAGTACAGTTGAATAAATAAATTAATGAAAATAAAGTTAACGTTGGACGTACTGTACAATCAGAAAACAACCACCAGAGACTGCAGCGTCGGTGGAAACACAAGTACAGTTGAATAAATAAATTAATGAAAATAAAGTTAACGTTGGACGACCCCCACCCAAAAAAAACCTCAAACCTCCGCGTGGCTAACCTTGTGACGTCACACAGTCCTCCTCGTGTTCACTCCTTAAACGTTCAACGCCTGTGGTGTACCGATGATTAAAGGAGGGATGAACAACGAATTCCCGAACGAAGAACAAGATGCATGTTCGAAACAATAACGCAAAAAAAAAAAAAAAACGTTAAAAAAGCTAATGACCAGAAAACATGGTTAGCTAATGCAGTTTGTTACCAATTAATATTAACTGTGCGAATAAATCCGTACCTGCACAAAAACGTTCACAAAAGTCACAGCATTAACGTCGATTCTGTTAAAAAAAAAAAAAAAAAAATCACAACCAACTGCGTGGATGAACAAACGCCAACACACACCGTGGTCAGTTTGGTGTAAATTAGCGCCTTTCCGTAGCTGTGTAGGCGGTTCACAAAGTGAACTCAAACATCCACAGCTGTCGGTGATGAGAATTGATTAACAAAAAAAAAAAACGTTTAACGGTTTCTGAACAATAAATCGCGGTTAAAAAACCGACTCAAACATCATCGTTACGCTAAGTTCCAGCACCGGTATCCAGCCTTGCTAAAGCCCTCGCCTCTGTTTTTCTGTTATTGTTGTGTGTTTTTTTTCCTTTACCTTCAGTCGTTGTTCGCTCCTCTCTTTTTTTTTTTGTCTCTGACTTGTTGTTTTTTCTCCACCCGTGGTTTTGACTTGGTGGAGCTTCTCTCTCTCTCTGTCTGTGTCTGAGTCTCTCTCTCAGATTTCACTCCATCTACTTTTGTGTTCCTTGTGAAGAGTCCGCGTTCTTCTTCTGTTATGTGCTGTGCCGCGGGGTGAGGACAAAGAATATTCCCTACTCCTCCTCCTCCACCTCCGCCCCCCTCTTTTCTCTCCTCCCAGTTTCCAGCAGCCGGGCACCCCACCCCCTGTCTGCTAGCTCCGGAGGAGCAGCCTCAGCTGCCAGCCTTCCTGATGCAATCCCCGCCGCCGCCGCCGCCGCCGCCGCGGACTGTTGGATAAAGTTGAAGTAAATCTGCGGCGGTGCGAATCCTCCCAAAGTCAATATTACAGAACATGTCTGTCGTGGCAGGGGATTATGTAGACTAGTGGTTCTCAACCCGCAGTGCAGGGACCACTGGGTTTCCACGGACCATAATCTGAGGGTCTGTGACGTATGTTGCGATCGAATTATGTGTCGTCATTTACTGCGTCAGTGGTTGATTTTTTTTTTTTTTGCCTGAATAAAATGGTGATATGTTTGCAACACTTTATGTGACTTTAACTTTAGCATCGGTGCAACAAAAGTGTCCGCGCTGCTGCGTACCTGGGCTACAGGGCTACAGGTCTGCTAGCTAGCTAAAACCAGGCAGACATTTTGGAGTTAGCCCTGGTTAAAGTTATACTGAGCTCCATTTTCATGAAAACTAAATCCTACATTTAAACCCTTTTACGGAGGATTCTTTAGACGATGGAAATCCTGATGTAGCCTAGCATACGAACAAAAAAGTCACGATAAGACCTAAAAATACACATGGTTGCAGGATACCAAACAATTTAAGACAAATATTTATGAATAAATTTTTCATGATAATTCCATCTCATAAATCCGATCAGATCAAAGGCAACACAGTGTTTCATGCTTTCCTTTAATTTATATTTACAAAGTTCCAGAGTAGTTTCTGCTCAGTGTGAAGCGTGTGTGGTTCTCAGGACGTTGTTGAGCAACAAACACATCCACTGATAGCAACATGCCCCGACTTCCTGCCCGTGCAGATGTTTGGAAGTCGTTGCTATCGTGGGGCCCCTTCCTTCAGTGTCACACTTTCTTTGCCAAGAGCGACACGTGCCTTTCCTAAACACCACCTACGTTCCTCCTCCTCCTCCTCCTCAGCACCACCTACGTTCCTCCTCCTCCTCATCCTCATCCTCCTCGTGGAGTCACATCCAACACTTGGTTTTATGAATTACTGTACTTGAAGATAAAGGGTCCTTTGAACCATTTTAGAACTGAAGAGGTTTCTGTTGTGAATGGGAATCAGTCAAAGACTTAAAGGATGTCTGGACTTGTCATCGTGCTGTTGATAAAACCGGAGCGAAGAAGGTCGAAGTGACTCGACAAATGAGTCTCCACTGATGATGATATAGTTTTCCACAGATCCTGTGGAGTCACGTGATGATTCACTCCTCGCTAAACAAACAAACAAAATTCTATTTCAATTCTCATATTTCTATTTTTTTTTCTTCGTCGTCGTCGTTACTGCGATTGTTGACAAAACAACATTAAAAGCTGTAGCTATGTCCGATACAAGCTGCAAACTGGGGGTCAGTGAAGGAATTCCGTGCCCTTCCCCCCCCTTCCTGAGGGAGCAGAAAAGATCTGTTGTGAACCACAAGCATGCTTTTATTCACAGTGAGTTCCACGGGGAGCTCCGCAGCCCAGATAACAGGGCAACATGTTCTGGTGAATGATTGGTTTTCTGGGGCGTCAGCATCGTATCGGCAGGTTTGGTCGAGAAGGAGTCGGAACTCCACCGCAGGGTTATCTGTCGTCAGAGAATGCAGCAGGAGAATATCTGAGTCAGATGGATCTGGAACAGCAGAAGATCCAGGTCCAGGTCCATGTAGGGATCACGAACTCAAACGTCAAATATATCAGAATAGCACAAACCATGTAGAATCTTTGAAGCTAAATTATACTTGTTCTGTTTGGATATGAATTCAACAACAACAATATATATATATATACTGTATATATATTTTACTTTGACTTTTGGAAGTAGTATTGCACTTTACGTGAGTACAGTATCAACAGTGGTACAGTACACAGTCTGGCAGTAAAAAAAATACAAACGTCAGTAGGAGTTGATTGAGCAACAGGCCGTGCACAGTAAGTATCCTGGTGGTGTTAGGGTTTAGGGCCTAAATCTTAACAAACCTTAACTTTAATTGGATGAACTGAGCGTCGCACGACAGGTTCTATAAAAAAAACTGAAACAACTGAAAAGAACATTTAAAACAGACTCAGATGCAAAAATGCATTTCTGGTTTGAAAATCAAACAAATCCTGGTCTAAATGTTGTTGGCGTCATCATCGTACAGTGGTTCAGAAATCTGCTGACTCAGGTTCTCTGCAGTCTCCAGCAGGGAATCTATTGTTCATTATGGTCGTCCATAACCTTGTGGTTTGGTTGCCACTGTTTCGTGCTTAAGATTTTTTTTTTTTTAAGACTGCATTTCCGTCTCTGCTTCACCACAGAAGGAACCAAAGAAAGAAAGAAGGAAAAAAGAATCTCTGGTTTTTATAACCTCGTACTTACAAACAGATTTTCCCCGCGGCTCCGCACGGATATGATGTTGCAACTTTTCCAAAGAGGTGAAAGGTTGTTGCTCGTGAGTTTCTCCC